GCAGCGGATTTCGGCCATGTTGAAGTTGTCCGCTTGCTGGCAGAGGCAGGGGCCTACAAGTGACACTGCAGGTTGCAACACTAGTGTTCATCGCGGATGACCGTGGCCATGTCGATGTTCTGTGCGCAGCCGCTTCTGGTCTTTGCTGACGTCCAACACAGAATGCAGACGGTTGATTCTGCAAAGCTAGGTCTTGCAGGTTTCTTTGTAGCCAGAGACAAAGCCATAGATGGCGGAGGTATGTGGGGGTGTAATTGGCAGATCGTGTCACTTTGGCAAGACTCAAGTATCGGCGACACTGGACGGTTAAGACCAATACCAAGGTGTTGATTGTAATTGTTTCACGTTTTTTTCTTGCTCTATCTTCCCCTGTGTGGTGAGTCATGTCAAGACATGGTGCCACATGTGTCAACCAAGCAGGGTGGACAGTGCTGGCATCTCCTGGCTGGCTTGGTGAATCTTTCGATATATCCTCCAAGTGCAGACCTGATGGATATCGGTCCAAACCAGCCCCATCAGGAATTTTGGCACTTTGTGGAACCCGTCAGAGGCTCTTGGCAGGTGGTAGATGAACCCACTCCGATCGCGTCTTCTCTCAGTGTGAAGATCAACGAACAACTTTTGCCAGGACCCTCCAAAGTAGCTATTATATTCGGAACATGTTCAGATGACACAATGCCATCACAATCCATCACATATCCCTCTAAGAACTGGGCACCGGTGCTCACCAACCATCTCCAATACTCTCCAACTGGAAGGCTCCATGAGTCCAGGTCTTTCTCGAAAACCATCTGATCGAAGCCGACGCGTCCAGCCTCGTCACCGGCTTTCGGATGAGGACCTCATCGGCAGGGCGAACCGCTCGGCGGGACGCGTGCGTGGCTTGCGCTTCACCAACTGGGGCAACGGCGCTCAGCCGCCTGGCGATGGGCCGGTCGGGTCGGGTGGCGGTCACGCCACGGGTCGCCCAAAGGTGATATGTTGCGGATCCAGTCGTACCTTCTGAGAAGGTGGGACTAGGCTGGGTGCCAGGAGGGTTCAAATACTTTCTGAGGAGGTACGACTGGATCCCTAAAGGTGTGATATGTTGTGATCCATTCACCTCGCAACTTGAAACCGATGTGGCTACAGCCCAGCCTATGGGGACGCAGCACATGGCCCAGGGACGCTCTGAGAGCTTCTGCTCATGGCGTCGCACACGAACCAACCTCACACCAAGGCTGCCACGGACCTCAGCGAAGCCCCCCCTTGCTGGGCACAGTTCTGGACACATGATGAGGTTGACAACATCATGTCTTTCTGTAGGTCAGGATGAGGTCGGTCCCGATTTGGGTGCGGCCAGTTAGCTTCGGCACCCCTCCGCGAATACAAACTATAGACTAATAGACGTTTGGGTCCGGTGCCGACCAGAGCGGAGACCGAGACCCGCCGGTGTCGGAGACCGTATGAAATGATCCTGTGTCGCAGGTGAGGGCCCGAAGATGTTTGCCACTGGTAATTATAGCTTGGGTTTGTTTTATATAATCGCCAGAAACAGTTGGTAGACCAATATCACTATTTTAGAGAAAGGCCCCATCATCCACTGGGCCCAGGGAATGGGATACACCCCAAATACTGTATAGCAGTTTACCGGGACCATCCAATGGGTGCTCAATGGAGATCCCAAGTGGTGTAGGGTCGTGGTTTTGGACACCCAGACAGGATGGTCCTGGTATCTATAGTCACTATAGTCGATCTGGCATTGTTCCAGATCTTGGACCGGACAAAGGTGGGAGAACACCGCTTCAGCCATGATGGCGATGTCCATGTTCCAGCAAAAGCGTGGAGGCCAAGGAAGGTTGGAGCAGGTAGGCGGGTGGGGTAGAAAAGTCGAAGAAGGTTTACGATCGGAAGGGCCAAAAGGGCTTGAATGTTTCTTTTGGTGTGTTTCTTTGGTATTGTTTGATATGCAACAGCCCTGCTTCGGAGTGACATGGGCCACTAAAAACCGCATGCTGACCCTAAGCTGTGGCTATTTTCAAGAGCCCAGAGTAGAGACCTTTGGAACGGGGCTTGCAATTCACCTAGCAGATCTAAAGCTTTTGACTTGATGCCAACCAGGCGTATGAGCCTTTTGAACATGGTCTAACAGGGTGACTGTTCCTGATTTAGTCAGCCTCAGCAGATAAAAGATGGAACATGTCAAAGCGAAGAATCATCTCAGTGTTTGTTTCTACACTCCTGAAATCGTCATGGAAGTGGATGGCACGGTCACTTTTTCTTGACCATTTTCCTCTACAAACCTTCCATGATTCTTTGAGGGAGTGTCTAAATTCATGAGAAGGAAGATGCTAGATAGATTGATCTTGCTGTAGTTTATACCCCGAACCCTTAAAAAAATCGGCCCAACATGGCCCAACTAATCTGAAATCATCCAATCCAATCCCTTTAGAATAGCAACATCCTCCTAAAGGACGCTCAATCATGTCATTTCTGGACCCTGGGTTTAGTTCACCAAGCCCTCCGTAGATGCACCTGGAGAGCAAATGAAATGATTCACCCAAGAATCTCTACATTGTTTAGAATTTGTTGATTCTGCCGGGCATCACCAGGTATGGCGTGGATGCGCTACAGGGCGTTGAGTTGGAGGATGAGATCAAAGGCATCCGCCGGTCCATGCTGAGGATTCTCGACACGTGACCTGTCCGTAGTGTCCGTGTCGAGCCCTGGTGGTCCCTTGCCGTGGCTGCCGGGGGACTCTGAGTGGCTCACCGAGCGGTACATTGATATGGGTCTATACTCACTCACTCAATCCCCTTTGCAGTGTTTTTTGTTCACGTCATAATCACCTTCTTGTGAGGGTGAACATGGGTGAACCACTATCTTGCACCGCAATGATGTTTTTTTTTTCCGCACTTGATATAACATTATCTATAGGGGGTATTTATATGTAATGATGCTTCAGTCTGTTCAGGCTTGAGGACCCAGATCCAGGCTGTCCACCAGACAGTGGCCAGTGGATCCGTGAGATCCATGACCATGGACCGATGAGAAACGAAGGTTCACAGACTCTGTTGGGCTATGAACTCCCTGGTGAACCACAGATGAAACGAATCATTTAGATATAGAGAACGTAGTCAGTTGATGTCAGTTTACCTTATTCCATCGTATTCTATAATATAAAATATAGTGTATCTCAATCTATTCATAGCTTCTTCATCGTGAGGTTCTGTTCGCATGTAATTTGTATGAACGGACTGTGGTTTTCAGGAACAGTTCCCCACACAAATGTCATTCAAGTAGGGTCTTGAACGGTATGTTCAGAGGTTCCCCCCACCCAGAAACTCCATGTATGGAATAGTGGCCGATCAGTTGGGGTAGTGAACGCGGGGTCAATAGGGCGGCATATGTTGCAGTCCCATGGAGTGTTTGGGCAAGAAACATGCAAAAACCGGGAGAGATGCAGAGAGCATTGGTGGGAGTGTTGGGAGCATTTTGCTTCCGAGGTTTGTTGGTCAGCGGCTCAGTGTGTTTTTCAGGTTCCAACACGGTCAGACCGTTTGCGGCCTTCGGAGGTGACCGGTCAAAGAGGTTAAGAAAACCCTCCAAGTCTTTACGAAAACATGCAGCTTGCAGCTAATCGGTAGATCGAGAAAAGAGCAAGCTGATGGATGTTGTTTTGACAGGTACGGCTCGATTCCAGCTTCTATCTTGGGTGGCAACAAGCAGGCAGATGCGGGAGCAAGCATTTTGCTGCAACAGCGACCTTGAAAAGAATATGATACTGGGGGGGGATGCTGGGATTTTATTGTGTGTTTTTTTGTTTCTTGGAAATCACCTGTGTGCGGGCCAGAGGCTTCTCCGATTATCCAGGATAAACTCTTCTGAGTCAATTCAGGTTTGTTGATCAACATGCAGAAACAATGGCCAGTGACCCAATACGACTGATGAGTGTCGGACCAACACCCAAGGTTTTGGTCTTTAGCTTACAGGCCAGATGGGATCATATAGCTGAGCATTTGATCAGAACATTCCAATAAGAGCAATTACTGCACAATCGCCACTAGCGACAGTCGGAACAGACTTGGCACAAATCACATGAATCACATGAGTTCAAGATAGAAGTAAGGACAGAATATGATAGATGAGCAAAGATGGAAGAGGAGCCATAAATCTACACGGGAACCAAAACAGTCCAGCAGTCACAAAGGGGTGCTATCCATGGAGGTAGTCGGGGTGCCCAATATCCACTCACTGGAAGGGACTCAAAACCATCCCGTCTTGTGACACCTGGGTCTTGCTTCTCCAATCTTTTGACCAGATGAACTTGGGCGAAGCGAACGGTGAATTCGTTTTGTTGGTGAATTCGGCATCCGACCGGTCGGATCGACGGCCGCTTTTCACACGGCGACAGTCGGGTCGGATGCTATAGCCGCCCGTGGAAAACTCACATGGACCCTTAAAACCATCTGAAAACCGCTATAGTTTGTAGAGGAAACCAGTTCAAGTGTCACCACTGACCAATGGCTTGCATTGCAAAACGCACGGTCTTCTTCGTGGGGGGCTTGCATCATCGCCTGTCGTGTTTGGGGTCATCGGTTTTCTTGAATTCAATGGCCTGTCGTGCTGATGACCCTGTGAACCCTCGACGATCCAGGGGTGAACGGGCTGACTGAATTGGCAGATGTCGATTCGCCGGAAGATTCAGCCAAGCTTTAGGCCCAACAAATCCCAGACACTCCATGTATGGTATATTTACCATTATTTACCTACATTGGGGTGGTTTGAGGGGTCAATGTAGGCATATATGGCAGTCCCATGGAGTGTCTGGGAATGTTCTCTCTCATCACCTCGTGCTGCCGCAGCATCGGTGATGATGCCAACTTCTTTTTTAGATGAGCTTTTGCTTTCCGACAACGTGGTTCAGTTTTTTAGCTACTATGACTATATGACTATGACTGGTGACAGGCTTTTTCCAAAATATCCTAAAACAGCTGGCACCAGTCTTCTCCATTTGGGTTTCGAACGAAAGTGTGTTGGCCGAGTCTCCCGGCACCCAATATTTCCACGACAGACAGAAGTCGTCGAACTATTGCAATAATATGCATCACTCCCAAATCAGACACAACCACCGACTGTCTTCCATATAAAATTACCCAGTTCTATCCGGAAGGAACACATCTCTCAATCCTTGAATGGGATTTGCCAAAGAGACGACGCTTTCAGAACATCGTTCGTTTGCACTTGTCTCGTAAACGACCACCGGATTTGCTTTTGCCACAGTGTGAGTGGCCCCACCCGTGAATTCATCTTAGACAATTCGATCTCGTGTTTTTGTTTAACTCTTCTTCCTTTCACTTTGTCATGTAGTCATTCTTACATCCATACCCGGTTTGACACAAGGGGTGGGTGTAAACGGATCGTCGCCCGTGCGTGTTGTGTAGAGGAAAACAGTCTTTCAATGTCTTTCAGGGTCCCATTCTCAGGGTCCATGTTAGTTTACGGGAGTGTATATATAGTATACGTATATACTCTCCTGCTTTCGAGCCACTGATTCGACGGGCAGATTCCGTCAGGCCTGGAAGAAGAACGAGCACGCCAGGGAATTCCCGGGCGGATCAGATACAGGTCCGCGCACAGGGTTCTTGCAACGTCCGACGTTTCTCGCAAGATGTTGGTAGTTTATGAAATGTATGAAACTTGACCGCTTGGCAAAGGTTGTTTACGTTGTACAAGCTTTGATGCTTCATAAACTGTGCCTCAAGAATCTACAATCTGCTTGATTGCAGTTGATTGGTAGACAGTGTTTGGTGTTTCTTCCCCAATGGCGTTGTTGATGCTGGTGTGGCTGTCTACGCGTGTCTACGCAGTGTGTGAAGTCGTACCGTTGCATGAATGCTTGCGGAACGCCTCCAGATCCGACGACTCGGACTCGTCGGTGATGCAACTGCATCGCCCGGTGCGTCGGTGGCTGAAGGATCCAGACACATCGGCAGAGGACTTGGCCTCGAATGTGACAGAGCTGAAGCAGCAGTTGCAGATCCTACGGTCTATGCGGTCGTTCACGCTGACGGACGTGGGTAGCAGAGTGAACAAAGTCAATGATGTGGAGGAAGTCAAAGAGAGGATTTCCTCTCTCCTGCCCTCATTGATCCGAACCATCTCTCCACTCACGGCAGCAAAGCTGGGCATTGCGATCAGGTCCGATGATCTTGAGGTGCTTGGAGGACAAGAGCTGGATTTTTCTCTCAGACGAAGAGTCAAAAAGCCAAAGAGAAAACCAGTGGCGAAGGGCTTGCCATGGACAAAGGGACTTGTGCCTTTTTGCTTCGATTCCAACGTCCCGAGCAACTGGAAAATTTTGGTTGTGGAGGCGATGCATGAGTGGCAAAAGGCTGTTGCCTGCCTGGATTTCCAACAAGTGGATGCCGATGATGTCAGGGGTGGCTGCCAAGTCGGTCACTTTGGTTACCGAGGCATTCGAATCTTAATGTCCAATGGAAATTTCGGCTTTATTGGCCAGCCCAAGTCCTCTTTCAAGCAACCTGAGTTGCATATCTTCGAGAATGCGAGCATTTTACTGTATCTTGGGATTGTCATTCATGAACTTGGCCACAGTCTTGGAGTGTCACATGAGCATCAACGGAAAGATCGCGACGACTATGTGAAGGTCTTTACAAAGCGCATCAGGGAAGACGAATTGCGCTTCTACGAGATCAATGAAGAGGTTGGCAGGACCTTCCCCTACGACATTCTTTCAATCATGCACTACGCCAGCACTCATCCTACTGCGTCCTTGAAGAAAGGGGCCGAGCTCATCAGAGCTAAGGACGAGGCATGGGTATCAAAAAGTATATTATTGGAATTCAGAAACACATGATGATTATCCGCATCAAAAACATTTTTTTGTACCAGGATCAAACACCAAAAGGAAGGAAGGACGGAAGGAAGGCGCTTGTGCTTTTGCTGCTATTTTGCCTTCGCTGCTTGCTTGCGTTTGTGCATTATTTTGTGGCTGTTTGTGTTTGCCTTGGTTTTGGCCGTCTATTTTAACTTCGGCTCGTTATTTTTGGTTGCTTTGGTTGCTTTGCTGCGTTTCTGCTATTCTTGTTTCTGTTGATTTTTCATGTGTTTTTTCTATTTCTGGCTGTTTGGTCTACAGTGCCAGTGCCGCACTTGTTGCACTACTGCCCAAGTTGCACACACTCGTGTTTGTGGCTGCGGCCAGAAACATAAGGCTTGGATCACACACCCAAACCCACACACGATCCATACCTTGATCCGTGGGGTATGGATCAAAAGGTGGGTGTGTGATCCAAGCCCTTGGATCACAGGTTTGTTTTTTCCTAGAGGTTGTCCATGGAGAGCAAGCTTTTTCTTTCTTTCTTTCTATTTGCGCACGGTGTCCGAAGACTCAGCGCCTTGCCGAGTTGAATTCTGAATTAGCAGCGGGTGGAAGTCGGGGCCTTCTACTGTATGTTCATCGACTTCCGCAAGATGCATGGCTTTAAGCCATGTAGCATCATGCGTGGGTGGCCCCGACATCTGAGTGGCCCTGCTCAACCAACGATCGAACAATCTAGCAAGGAAAGAGCAAAAATCTCTAGGATACTCTTTCAATGAGCTAGTGGCCCAGCCTTTTTCACAGAGTCCGATCGAAGTAGACTTAGGGCAACTCGTGGTTCTACTAGCTTGTTCTACCTCCAATATTGTATCAGATGGTAGCCCTGCTATCAGTAGGTTTGTCGGTTTGGCACTTTTGGCCCCGTAATGTCCCTGGAACACTCTCAGATCCTGGAAAAGTCCCGCTTGCCTTAACCAGCTCATCAGTGCCGTCCTCCAGACGCTTGGGGCCTCACGGTGAGTGGTTCGAAGTTCCAGTGGGTCCTGCGGATGTTCCAGTACCGCAAATCCTCCACTGATTGCTACTTCTAACATCACCAGGACAGAGAATCCCATGAGTTCATTGCCAACATCCACTTGTTGTCCTTCACGGAAGCTGATGTCAACCAACCCCCATGGGTACCGACGAGTTCTCAGTGGTCTTGGTGGCCTACGGTGTCCTGAGACCGCCTGAAAGCGGGCTATGGACCACGTTTCGCATGGCGGACCTGCGAAGGCCGCTGCAATTGCACCAGCACGGATCACTCGAAGTATGTCCTCCTGTTGGCTGAGATTGGTGAGGTCACCATGCTTGGTGGAGACCATCACATCGAGCGAAATAACGAACAGCACTGCACTTGTTGGGATGGCTAACTCCTCAAGTGCTTCTTGAAGGTCACCAGTTCTTCTGCGTCCACTAAACAAATGCAGGATGTATACCTCTTGAAACACACGGCTGGGATGGGCTTCAACAGGTTCAATCGCAATTTGCTCTCTCTCAGCTTCATCGGTTGGCAGGTCAAGAGAGACTCCCGATTGCTCCTTAGTGAGACGGAAACTTTGCAATCGTCTGACAACTTCCTGACAAGCCCATTGAATATTATTCTGTTGTGGTTGTTCAAACTCTGTTGCCATCTCTTGGAGAACGGCTAAAATGTCTTGAATTGGCTCTTCCAAGGTATGATTCAAATCAGTTCGAAGATTCATTTTGTCCCTCTGAATCAGCTCAACAGCTGCGGCTGCCTGTTCTCCTGTTCGCAACCACGGAAGTTGTGGGTGACGCTGCTGCTGACAGCCTTCTTCATGGGGGAAAGCTGCTCGCTTCTTCCAGAAATATGTGCAGCATGACTGACTGTACCGTAAATGGTGCTTGAGGGACAGGGTGGAAGGGTACTGTTTGGCACAGCACCAACATGTTGTCCCTGTGACAGCCTCACCTTCCATAGTCCGATAGTCGTGCACAACACTGGCATGGAGGAACCAGGCATTTTTCTTATCGAATCCCTTCTGACGTAGGAGGCAGTAATGCTTCCAGCTCGCCTGCAGCTGAAAACGAGACTTGGAGTGCGAAAGCGCAAGAACGCTGAGAATTCTTCTGTGCATCTCTGCTACCTTGTACTCACGAAGTCGAGAGAGGCGCCATCTCTCAGAGGCTCTCTTCACCATGGCTTTCCAGCTGGGCCCTTGCACAGTAAAGAACTGTCGGCATGCTTGGAGGGCCGTAAGGCCATCAAACCCTTTTTCCCGTCTCAAGGCTTCGTGAACCCAGTGAATCGCTTCACGGTAGACTTGGGCTGTACCCTCGTCAAGGTGCACGACAGACCATACAGGGTCAGGCGCATGCTCCATCATGGTGATGTAATGTCGGGCTCGGGCAGCTTGCAAGGCATCACCTGGTTCGGAACAACTTAGTTGTCGACAAACGTCTCCCTTCGATGTATTCTTCTGATGTTTTTT